CTACGCTCTGCTCAAGGTCCCTATCAAATTAACAGCGAAAGCAGCTGCTGCACGACAAAGTGTTACGGTCCTGCAGCTGCCGGTTACCAGCCCTCTGCCCAGCTGGCCAAATGGACGGCGTGAGGATTTCATCTGTTTCAGGATGGAACCGACCAGCTTAATTCAAACCACAGGTTATTGGGCAGAGGAAGCCCACGGCTGGGGCAGTGACCTCCAGCATGAAAGTAGCCACATCCCAGACCACGGTGGCCATTTCTGCAGCAGCCACCCCCCCCACCTTCGCATCCCCGCTACGAGGCATACTTAATCTCTCACAAGAAATAAGCATCGACCAGGTCAAGCCAGAGAAGTAGCACGATAAGGAAAAATACCCATTTTCAACCTTTACTGAGATACATTTTCTTCTTGTGTTTTATATCAATTTTATCATATGTATCCAGGATTATAGTAACCCACAGGGTCACTTCAGTATCTTCAGGTCTTGTACAATTTTTTATCGTCTGAATTGAATGTTCTCTACCACAGCTCTCTGGGTTTTAATGTTTTGCTTCAGGCATTTCTCTCTTTATGAGCCTGGTCAGAGAGCAGGACACACCAGTCAGTGCTCCAGCTGGACTCAGACAGTCGCAGGAGGAATACATTTTTTTTTTCCTATTTCTATGCTTATAATATTTAAAGGAAAATACCCATTTAAAATGTTAAATATTAATTTGCAACCTCTTATGTTAGAGTCTAAATTTCTTACACTCTTCACACAGTTTAATGTGCTGCATCAATAAGGTCTTTACAAAGTGAACACCTAAGAGAAAATTCTATGATGGTGAGGCAGAACGCTATCTTTGCAATGACACATTTTATACGCCTCATGAAAATACTGCAAGCTGGACACCCTTGGTAGCTAGCACGTTTAGTGTCACTCTATTTAACTAATCTAAAAATCCCAAACTCTTCAATGCTCTCCTGACTTTTACCTGACTTCCAGTTTCCACCCAAAAGAGGTTTCAAACAAATTGTAATAAATTATCCAGTAAACAAATGCCTCTCTCTATTATTTTGTATGCAACAAAGAGAAAATTTGACTCTGAATAAAAGCCTGATAACCTATACTGTTCTATAAATGTCTAATGTATATCCTCAGAATTACATAAATGTACTAGATTTAGTCTTAACGCTATACCCAGCTATAAATCAACACACTGGAACCATTCTAGCAGCAGAAGGAAATCAACCACTATTAATATAAAGCACAAATGCAAATTAATATGAAAATTCATTATTTAAAACAAGATTTTCTGCTTGGCGATTTAAGGATGTCTCCTGGCCAATGGCCTCGGAAAACACCGCCATACGCAGACCTTGCTACCCCTCCTGAAGGAGTCCCCGGAGGGGACTTTCCCTCCCCTCCTCTTGGAGGGCTGCAGCCTACGGGGGTGAGAAGCCTGAAATTCATCCCAGGGTGCTCACCACACCAGACACCACGACATCTGAAGGTTAGGGTCCCGCACAGAAGGCACTACAGACGCCAAGCGGGAGGCTGCTCTTGCCAAATCACGAGTGATTTAGGAGTTGCAGATTCAACTACATAAAGTCATCAGTGAAGTCTTCGATTACTGGCAAGCCAAACGATTTCCACACTTCCATTTCTCCCATGTAAAGCTGGGATTATAATACATGTGAAGTACAAACTTGCAGACGCTTGGGATTTGTTTTGATGCTACAGCAGCACATGCCATACCTTGGACCAAGAGAAAGGGAGATGATGGGTGGTGTCCCCAGCTGGCCCTGCTTCACCTGCCCACTGGCCCTGGACACACATGCCAAGGTCTTTTGGCAGGAGGCTGAGAGGTCCACTGGTGTGAAATGCAAATGAGCTCCCTGGAAAACACCCTTCAGTCAAGGCACTCCTTGAGTTCAGGAGATGAATATTTGGTTTCTGTGCTTTGTACTGTTTTTCTTACTCCAGAAGCGCAGCTAAAACCAGGGCTGGTGAGGAGCCTCTTAAACTAGATATACAGCTGACAGGAATGATAACTCGGAACCACAGCCACTGCCTGAAAATGCTGAATCCTGGCTTTTTTTTTCTTGTTCTTTCTAGCATGCATAGCAGTTCCCTGTTCTTAGACACACTCATCACATGGACCATCTGCCTTAAGCCCCTTCCCTCTACTTTCTCACAAGGCTCTGTTCTTGTGGGAGTTACGATCTAGATATATGCACCCCCCCAAGGATAGCCATGTTTGAAGTAGATGGACAAACTTCACAAGGATTCGAGAAACAATGGCTCTATATCAGACAATACAAATACATTGGAAACTCCATTATCCCAAAACACAAAAGTAAGAGCACTTGAAAAATTATTTTACGTAATGAAAACATCACAAGACTAGAAGTGCAGCACAACCCTTCCAATATACATAATTTAATTTTTAATCTTACTGCTCACTGAGAATACTTCTCCTATATCCCAGAATATGAATGGGAATATTCCAGTAAGAAGGGGTAAAACTTGTCTTTTTACTTACTTGCCCCAACAAACTATGTTCAACCTTCTCAGAGCAAAGATTTGAGTTAGGGGTACTGGTCAACAGATGACTGAATATGAGCCAGCAGTGTGCCCAGGTGGCCAAGAGGGCTAAGAGCATCCTGGCTTGTATCAGGAATAGTGTGGCCAGCAGGAGTAATGAAGGGATGGTACCCCTGTACTCAGCACTGGTGAGGCTGCACCTTGAATACTGTGTTCAGTTTTGGGCCCCTCACTACCACAAGGACATTGAGGTGCTGGAGTGTGTCCAGGGAAGGCCAACAAAACTGGTGAGGGGTCTGGAGCCCAAGTCTGATGAGGAGCAGCTGAGGGAACTGGAAGAGGCTGAGGGGAGACCTTATCGCCCTCTACAACTGCCTGAAAGGAGGCTGTAGCGGGGTGGGGGTAACAAATGATAGGACAAGAGGAAATAGCCTCAAGTTGTGCCAGGGGAGGTTTAGATTGGACATTAGGAAAAATTTCTTCACTGAAAGGGTTATCAGACACTGGAACGGGCCACCCAGGGAAGCGGCTGAGTCCCCATCCCTGGAGGTATTCAAAAAACAGGTAGGTGAGGTGCTTAGGGACATGGTTTAGTGGTGAACAGGTACAGTTGTACTTGATGATCTTAAAGGTCTTTCCCAATCAGATGATTCTCTGTGAGACATCAGGTAATGTACAAGACAACCGTTCACCACAAAGTACACTAGGAATCTACGATACCTCTGAATAAGATGTATACCCCACCGTATGTATTATCACCTACATCCAGCTCATCTTTGAGCAGCTTTCTGCTGTCGGTGCTCCTCACACTGAAGTTTACTGTCTTCCTCCGTGACTGCAGGAGCGGGACCTCTGTTATCCCAGTGCAGTGGCATTTGTTGGCACCGCTCATCCCATTAGCTGCAGCCCTTCACGTGATGGAGCCCGAGCAGTCACAACAGCACCATACTGGATCCTTCTTCATTAACAGATTCGTCAGCAATGCTATTCTCAGATCACCGTATTTTCCAGGCCCGCTGTGGCACCGCAGACCTAACAACACTGTGCATCAGCCGCCAAGCAGGTCCCATCTTTCATGTTTAGCTGTTTGTGAAACTCGGTCATTTCTTCTCATTCCACGCTGTCAGGAAGGAGCAGATGGCAGATGTGCTCTGCCTATAATATTGTTTTGATGATACCCTGCCTGCTGGCAGAACAGCAGAGGCAACATTTGGAGACAAGAATTTGCAGTATATTTTCAGTTTTGAGTAACTGAGCTAAAAGACAGCATGGGGTACAGGGAGAGGAAGACAGGCTTTTACTGAATTGGTGCTGTTAGATTTCTCTAACAAAAAAAATGGAAAAAGTTATATTGAAAAAAAGGAGTATTTACTTTAATATCTTCTTCATGTAAGTGATGGGAAGACCAAACAGATACAGCCTTTTGAGACTATGTGTAGTTTATGATTTGCTGAAGGGAAGCAACAGGGGAAAGCCCTCAGGCATTTGTACCTACTCAGTGTTTTACTCTCTACTTTGCCGTATAAACTGCACTAAGACACGCGTCTGCTGAAGAGAGACAATCACTTCACGGGCCTGTTCGCTGCCAAAAAACTTGAGTCAGAAAACAAAACATTTGATTTTCCTGCTCTCCTCTGTTTTCTCACGCAGCAGCCTTCCCTTTGCCTAGGTAATTTTGGAGATGTGCAAAACTCTCAGTGGTTTTCATCATTCTCCGCATTGCCTGCAAGGGTTTACCAAGCTTTTTTCTGAACAATGTGGCAATGTTCTTGAGGGGGGAGTCAAGAATGCAAGCAAGAAGACAGCAGATTTGGCTCATAGCTGGCATTTCAGTACAAGCAAGAGAAGAAAATCTACTTAAATAACTAAGAATATGGTACTTATTAATGTTTTGTTTTGCTTCAGAGAGAATGCCCACTTCTTCCCTTCCCTGGGGAAGGACTCACGCAGCATATAGCTTGCTGCTGTTCAGCAAAGTGCAGCGGTTCTGGGTAAGCATGCACAAAATCGGCAATAAACAGCCACGGTTTGACGGGATGAAACTTGAAAATATACTCAAAAATAAATTATTTTTATTCATTACATTTGGTTACAAGAAAAAAAAAGTAGCTCACTTCCAGTTGTAAGTCTGCCACAAAATCTACCCTGTAACCAATTTTATCAGGCAGAGTTATGCTCTACCTTTTTGCGGCATCACTGTGTTCCCATTCATATGGGATTCAAACACAAGATTCAAAGTTTTAGCTTCTAAAAGTGGTTTTCTGAACTGCCTAACACCAGCAACAGAGTCATAATAGAAATGACAAACAATAATAAAAAGGATAAATAAATGCTTTCATGACAATGCTGTAAGAAACACCAAAAGTTTACACCAAGGCTTCAGAAATTTTTATTAAAATACTTTTAAAATATATGCACGGTACAGAGAAGAAAAATACGTTTTATTTTTAAGTAATATGATTTGAGCTGCCAACAGTGTTTCTTCTTTAATAATTTTAGTACACATTTTCTTCTAAAATATCAAACCTGACACAGTCAAGAAAGGAGCACCCTGTTTTTATTTAAAGCAAGATTAAAATAAAAAAAAGATAATTGCTTCAAAACTAGGGAGATTTTAAATTATGAATGTGTTACTGCAAAATGACATCTCAGGATTTAGGTTGGAAAGTTGGTTTCAAAAGCCTTATGAATCAAACTAAATATTGTCTATAATCTATGAGTCAATGTAAGGCAATCCCATTGCACATGGAACTCATTTATCTACGTCCACTGGTACCCAGCTGCTCAGATGCCAAATTCATCTTGTGTAGACTAGTGGCAAAATTGCGAAGATGTCCCAGAAAAGAAAACCTGCAGAAAAATAATTAGTTGTGACTGTTGAGCAGATGCAGTACAAGCTCTTCATCCTCTGCCAGAGAAAGCCCAGTATCTAATGGCATATAGGGGTCCTCCTCTTGGCTGAATTTTGCCTTCTTTCTTTTCAGTGGCATCTCTTCTGCTGCGTCACTGTTGCTATAGCTTCTCTTCTTTCTTCCACCCTTCTCCTCAAGTTCGCTGCAGAAACAAATCAATTAGTCTTTTTAACAACTGTGGTAATCAATATCATCATGTAATCAAACAATTCATTTTAAACAAGGCAAATTTATGTCAAGATAAGAGCAAACAAAATTACAATTCAGAAGGGTGAAGCAATAGAAGCCGATGAACTCTGAATGTCTAAATTAGAACTGCTTTCAGGCCAAGGTGGTGGTGGATGTTCTGCTGTCTTAATTGATTACAGTATGTTGCTATGAGCCTTATCTAATATTTGCTGCCTTACAGAGTGACAGACAACTTGACCAAACTGATTTAGTGATATGTCAGTGGAGCTTGACATGCATTCAAAAGCTTGTCTAAAATAAATATGCGACAAAACTAAGAAGATGAGAACTGTCATTTCATTGGGGAATCCTACACTTA